CAAACCCGCCCCGATTTTTGAAACGGGTCGAAATGCTGACCCGAACCCGACCCGTTTCGGGTTCGGGTTGACCCTAACCCGAAATTTTCGGGTCGGGTTTTCGGGTCGTGTCAAATATTGGCACCCCTACTCACAAGGGCTAGCTAGATTGGGCTTCTACTTTAATAAATCAGGTTAAGAAGTGACTATCAAAAGAGCTTCTTTATGCACCAATTTCAAAATTTAAATATAACATCAGCTTTTCAAAACAATTTTACAAATTAAAAAATAATGTCAACATTTATCCAAACGTAATGCACCTACACTTCTCATCAATATTGTGTTGCAGCAAAAAATAGGAAAACCTCAACAATATGATCCACAAGTTTATTTTCAAAATGCTCCCTAAATTTTTAATTTCGCAAGGCTAGCTTCATTTTCCATATTCAGCAAAAAGTCCCCGAAGATGTTGTAGTTGGCCTTTAGTCCCCACTAGAAAACTTTCAAGCATTCTGCAGTTAAATGAAATTGAACCATTGCTTCTCTTGATTAAAGAACGTTAAAATGATTCTCTTGCATTGAATATATGTCATTTATGACTTAACAGGATGGATCTGATTATTTGTTATGATAGCCAAACAGATACGGAGATGTCTGATACGATTGGACCAGCTCCTGCAGTACATCAGGAGCAAGCCTGCTGGTTTGCCAGCTACTAATTCCACCACCCTTCGGGAGGGGTCCGCTATCTAGGGTTAATTGCTTGAGGGTTGTTTAGTCATTTGGAGTTAATTTTATGTTTGCTTTAAGTAAAAGTTTGTATTAGGGTTAGGGCATCTTTTTGGTCGCTAAATTATGAGTTTTCTTTGGTGTCTTGGGCTCTAGCAGTGTCTAGAGAGTTTTGGAGAGATTAATCCTCCTCTCGAATAGAGGATCGTTTGTATCTTGCTATTTCTTTTCATCTCCTAGCAATCAAGAGTGTTTTTATTGTGTTTTCATCCATAAAAACTTAAAAATCTGCTTGGTTAATCCACAGAAATTCTGATTCCAGCAATAATTTCTTGTTTTTTCCTATTGTTTCCTAACAAATTAGTATCAGAGCAATTTTTGGGACTGTTTTTGGGCTGATTTTGTGAAATCCAGTGGCTATTTTATCCAAAGAGGTGTTGTTTTGCTGTTTTTTTGGGGTCAAGATACAAATTTTTTAGTTATACAAAAATTCGGTTATTGATGGCGGCCAAGAAAGTGGATGCGTTGGAAGAACGCCTTGAAGGAGAGATGAGCCAACTGAAAGCAATGATGGATGATTGAACATTGTCCATGAAAGGCAAAGTTTACGATCTTCATGAGATGATGAAGAAGATATTGGAAAATCAAAATCAAATGGCGGCATCAGAGGCAAGAGGTCCAGTAAGAAGAAACACCAATTCTGAAATTCATAGGAGAGAAAATGATGTGAAGATCATAGAGAAGAGAGATGGAATGTATGGAGAGAGACCTAGTTATAGGGGCATGAACCACGGAGTGCTGATTTTGAATAGAGGGGAGAAAGTGAAGATGGTAACGGGTATGAGCGTGGAAGGGAGGATCAGGACAATTGGGGAGGATCGAACACTTGGGAAAGGGGAAATTATAGAGGATTCAAGGGAAATGATGGAGAGTCGAAGATCCAGAAGCTGAAGATGCCCATTTTTTAAGGGGAGGATGCACATGGGTGGATCTACAAGATAGAGATGTATTTCGTAGTCAATGAGTTGATGGAGGAGAAGAAATTGATGGCAGATAGCTTTTATTTTGGAATGGAAGGCATTGGCTTGGTACCAGTAGAGAGACATGAGGATGCCCATATGCAGTTGGAGGGAGTTCAAGAAATACTTATTGGAATGTTTCCGAATCGGTAGGAGAGGGAAGTTCTTTGCACTAATATAGAAAGGCTCAATGGCAAATTATCGCGAGAGATTTCAGTACCTGGCGAGTCGATTGGATCGACTATCGAAAACTATTTTGGAGGGGAATTTCATGAAGGAACTCAAATCAGATATCCGGGAAGCAATGAGGGTCATGAGGCCTCATGACTTGGGAGAAGTTATGGAGCTGGCACAATTGGCGAAGGATCATAAGTACCAGGAGAGGGGAGCCAGAGGCAGCAGTTCAGGCGGCTCTTGCAGGATGACCACCACTCTCTTAGCACCCAAGGGGATGGCATCGGGCAACATTTGTGAGACCCCATGGGAGAAGCCAGTGGGAGGAGGAAGAGGGTGAACTTCAAGAGGATGACGGAGAGGGAGATGTAGGAGAAGAGGGCGAATGGGGTATGCTTCAGATGTGATGAGGAGTATACTCCATAGGTGCAAGAACCGAACTCTTCAACTTCTCACCGCCTGTAATGATAAGGAAACTGATGAGGGTGAGATAGAAGGAAAGGAGAAGGATAAGCTATACCTTGACGTGGCAGAGGACTCCCTGAACTCAATGGTAGGATTTACTCTGAGTCATACCATAAAGGTGATGGGAGAAATAGCAAACAGGGAGGTGGTAATGTTAATTAGCAATGGGGTTACCCACAATTTCATCTCCAACTAGGACGTGGGCCAATTGCGGGTGACATTTGTGGATACAAGGCGTTATGGAGTGATGATAGGTACAGGGAAGGTGGAGACAGGTCAGGGGAGTAGTGTTGACCATGCAGGGGGGTCATATGAGGGAGGATTTTCTCCCATTGAAGTTAGGGAGCACTGATATCATCCTGGGATGAAGTAGCTACAGACCTTGGGGGGCACCAAGGTCAATTGGGGAGCATTGACGATAGAGTTGTTGGTGGAAGGGAGAAGGGTAGTGATTAGGGGAGATGTTGCGCTCTCCAAAGCCATGACATCACTTAAAATCATGCTGAGGAGCATACAGAAGGTGGGGGAAGATTATATGGTGGAGCTACATAGGCTGGAGGGGATCAAGATTAGAGGAGCCTGGAGATATTCCTCTTTCAGTGCAGCCATTGATTCAGTAATTAAGTGAGGTTTTTCAGCCACCACAGGGATTTCCACCGCCAAGGGAACAAGAGCACACTATCACCTTGACGGAAGGTGTGTCACCCATCAGTGTCAAGCCCTACCGCTATCCTCAAATTCAAAAGGATAAAATCGAAAAGTTGATCAAAGAGATGTTAGAAGCAGGGATTATCAGACCCAGTGTTAGTCCTTTCTCTAGCCCAGTGTTATTGGTTAAGAAAAATGATGGGAGTTGGAGGTTTTGTATGAACTACTAGGCGATAAATAAGAAAATTATGCCAAACAAGTTTCTCATCCCAGTGATAGAAGAGCTATTGGATGAGCTGAGTGGGGCAATGATTTTTACCAATATCGATCTGAAGTTAGGGTATCATCAGATCAAAATGAAAAGAGATGATGTGTCAAAGACTGCTTTCAGAACTCATACAGGGCATTATGAATTCCTAGTGATGCTTTTTGATTTCACTAATATCCCACATGAACAAGGTTTTTCGACCCTATCTCAGGTGATTTATGTTGGTATTTTTTATGATATTCTAATTTACAGCATGTCAGAGGGGGAGTACTGGGAGCACTTGAGGAAGGTTTTAGATGTGTTACAGGAGCATCAGCTTAGAGTCAATCTAAATAAATGTTGCTTTGCCCAGGCCAATGTGGAGTACTTGAGGCATGTAGTCTCTCGAGAGGGTGTAGCTGCGGATCGGTCCAAAACTAAGGCTATGTTGAGATGGCCACTGCCCAAGATTTTCATAGAGTTGAGGAGATTCCTAGGGCTAACTGGCTACTACAGGAGGTTTGTGAAGGGTTATAGCATCATCGCATGGCCACTGACAAAACAGTTGAAGAATGATAGCTTCTTATGGGGGGAGGCGGCCATAGCAGCTTTTGAGAGCATGAAGAAGTTCATAACCACCATGCAGGTCTTGGCCCTACGCAATTTCTAAATAAACTATGCTTTCATAAATGTGCAGTAAACTATAAATTTGTATAGAAGTTGTTTAGTTTGGAGTCTTAAAAGTATAGCGCAAAGTGAATACATGCATTTTTATTTTAAAAGTGTTTGGTTTGAAGTAAATTGGATGCAGGGTAACTTTTTTAGTAGTTTGAAATGCATTATATAGATTAATTTTGAGGAATTATGAATTTACCCAAATCAATTGAATTCCAAATTCATTAGCACACAACCTACATCAATCATAAACCCTTTGCTGGTGATTCTATAAACCATGTTGGTGACCCTGCACTAGTAACCCAACGCCACCATCTATGCAGCTTGCATCTTCCCCAACCTTGCACTTCCACCCCGGTGAAACCAAGCTTGTCATTCCCAACCCCACATCTATAGTGCCGAGCATCCTTAACACCATCCCTAACAAACATCTCATTGTGCCACAAACAAAAATTAAAAATAATATTTTGTTATGTTTCAACCTACCAAACAAAAAAAAAATCATTTGTGAATATATTTTACAACCAACCAAACAATCTTAAGAAGTCAAAATACATTATATCTAATTTACACTACATTTGAAATATGCTGTCCCTTAAATACTTGCAAGTTGCAACCAAATAGCCTATAGCAGATCTATTTTAAATGACAGTATCATTTTCCGCCTCAATTTTAAGACAAATACTCAAAGATAAGTTATGGGCTACCTTACGACAATACATAGAAAGTAACCTCACTTTTCCATAGAAACCTAACTTCACTTTTCCATCCAATCCCCTAGCACAATATTATTTACCATTTCGACGATGTTCTGCATTGAGTTAAAATTCAGATTAAATGGAATAGTATAGCATAACATAAAAACTAGCTGATTAGATAACCATTATCATTTAAAGGCCATCATACATAACATAGCACATTTCAAAGTCCAGGAGTTTCTCAATACATGGTGAAACACAGACAACCGAATAGAAAACCAGAAATAAAATAAGAACATGGCGTGAATAACAAATAAATTCTTCCTCAAATACCTGAATGATAAACGAAGACATCAAGACTTTGATTGGCGCGAGCGGAAAGGCTGAAGTGTCCAGTTATCCTCATAAATCGTCCGAGTTCTTCGCCTTTTTCCAGAATGCTCCCGCAATGGTCTCTACTAGGCCTCGCTGCGCTTCCATTACCATCTCCAATCTCCTCGACTCCATCTCCATCCACTCTCGCTCCTTCTCCCTCATCATCTCTATTCTCTTCCTCTCCATCCTTACATAACCCTCCCCAAATCTCCTTAACTCTGCTGCCAGTTCAGTAAGCCCTCCCAGCCCCGCATCTCTCCCTTCATCAGCCTCCTCTTCATTTTCTTCATCGTCGTCTTCCTCATCTTCCTCCTCAACCCGTCTCTTCCGCGGCCTCACGTTTCTCGAAACCCTAGCGCTCTCCCGCAGTCCCGCTTCCCCGAGGATCCCGTTGACACTTCGCTTGTTGCTGAGGTGAGGCTTGAAGTCGGAGCAGGAGGAAGACGAAGCGGGTGCCGGCGGTGGTAGGCGAGCGGATATGGGTAAAGGACCACGCTCCATTCTGTCGATGCGCTCGAAGAAAGGCCACAAGGAACGTACAGGGCGGAGGCGCTCGGAGCGGTAGCGCTTGCGGAGTTTCTCGATCTTGTGGCGGCACTGCGTGCCGCTCTTAGAGGGGCGAGTGAGACCGCAGCGGCCTGCGACTTCAACGGCGACGTCCTCCCACTGCTGTGCCCTCAGCGGGCCGCGCTTGGAAGAGTTCCATTTCTCCTCGTAAGCATCAATCAGGTGGGTAGTTTCTAGATCTGACCATGTTGAGCCCGGGGCAGGCTTGCTAAGACCCGCCACTGACGCCGGTGTCGCGGGATCGCGCTCCAACGGTTCATCGGCGGCCATGCTTTTGGGTCAGAAGTTGGGATTGGAGTTGGAGGTGGGGATAGGGTTAGGATTTGTAGTGGATGATGGGATGAGGGCATGGTGAGTGGCGGGCGCGGTGACTGTGGTGGTGGGAGAATCGGATAAGGTTGGAACGCTGAGTTAAGTGGCTTTCCGAAGTTGAAATCCCTTCTTCTTTTATGTAAAATTTTAATTTTGATTAAATATTTGTATCGGAGATTTACATATATATGGAATAATTTTTCTTTTTTATAAACATAATGTTTAAATTTTGATATTTAATTGATAATAATATTTTAATTATAGAAAAAATATATACATAAAAAATCTATTTTATTCTTTTTTGCCAAACTATTATAACAATTTTTAATGGTAAAATCATGGGTATGTATGCGAACTCTTTGGAATATTGATTCATTCAAATATAATAGTAGTTTAATAGTTTTTAAATAGATGATTAGATGTCATGTAATAAAATTATGACATAATTTTTCGAGTTTTTAAGATAATAAAGGTTTTTCTGTAGTATAATTATTTTAGCTAATTATATGTGTTGTTTCTTCTTTAATTATTTTAAATTAATTGGTCATTTGGAGCACAATGATATTATAAGATTTATAATCATTGGTTTATTTTTAATACTACACTTAGTTATTTCTACCATGTTGATCCACCTTTTAGATGATATGGATTTTATATTATTGTAATTAAATGGTTTTTTAAATATATATAGATCAATAAAATAGAGATGTGATTTATTTTCTCCAAATGTTTATATATAGGAACGAAATTATTTTTCGTTGGTTGAAGTTTATAAAAAAGCATTTGTTCTCTTGCTGCTTTATTTTTAAATTATGTTCATTCTTACTAAGTTTTTGCTTCTTTTTTTGTTGACAATACAGTATGAGAATTGTTGGATCACTTGCTGAATATTTATAGAATTCTATAAGAACAAGCCGACTTCTTAAATTTTGTTTGCTATGGCACAAAGCATCAGTTTATCAATTTTATTACATTTATTTTTCACTATAATGTATATTCATTATTTGTTTTTAAGTTCTTAAATCATTTTGATTAAATTCGTATTAAGAGATTTTCGATGCAAAAAATTTAATATTCAGGTGCATAAAATATAAAGTTGGATGAAAGTGATGTTCGGGATGATTTTTTAGAGGTATATCCGAAGTATTGTGTAGATTGAAGTTGAAATTGACCATTAATTATATTGCAATCAACAATTGTTATTTGTTGCATACAATAAAGTAAATGAAATTAATATCTTTTGCGTTGTTATATTTTCATGATTTTTTACATTATGATATTAATGTTCAAAGACAATCTAAACATTTGTAACATATTGGATATTAGTAGATAATTAGAAAATCAAATTGTCTTATGGATGATGGCATGCTTTTTTAGAGAAAAAAATCATAAGATAAATTTGATTAAGTAATAGAAAAGTTAGATTAACTTTTTCATAAAAAAATAGACTTAGTATTATGTGAACCATTAGTTTTTATCATATTTTTTATAAACAAAGTAATTAATTTAGATTTTTTAATAAATTAATCGTAGAAATAATGAAAATAATATACTTACTAAAGCTTTCAATCACACTATCACTCCCTTCCATTATCATTAATTCTGCCAGCTCAAATGGAATGAATGAGGAATGATAATACATAAAATTAACTTTTAATTCATAATATTAATGTAATATTTATTAGTTATAGTTTAATTAAAAAAAAAGTTATAGTAATATAATTATTAATTATAACAATTTAAAGTTATTAGTTTTTTAATGATAATATACTATAAATTTTTTATTATGAATTTTATTTTTAAATTTTTATTCCCGTGCATTTAATGCACGTGCAATAAAACTAGTTTAAATAAAGCAGGAAAAATCAATAACTTAAGCAAAATAAGTCATTAAAAATGCACGCTGTCAAGTGTCAATAAATTAATAATAAAAATATCAATAATTGTGTATTTCTTATTACTAAAATTAAAAATATATTTTTGATTTTGCACTCATTTTTTTTTTTCTATTTAATCTTATAAATATTTATATTAATTTTAAAATTTTCTAACATGCAATAAAATATATTTTATCAATTTAAAGCTCCATTCATATTAAAAAATATGCACCTATGTTGACTTAATTATCCAAATCTTTAATAAAACAAAATTTTTAATTTAATAGTTTTTTTATATTTAAAATTTTATTAAAGTGCATTTAAACTAATAAATTTGAATAGAATTTGATAGCTAGAAAATATTTTTTGAGGACATTTTGATCAATTAAGGCAAACTCACACATGCATCACATATACAAATTTTGAACTCAATACCTCTTGGTTGAAGCAAAACTCTCAACCAAACGTTCAATGTGAGTTGCATGATTGTTAGAAATCAATTTATGAAAAATTAAAGTAGCTAATCCCTTAATCCGGCCATTCATACTAAGGCTTAATTTGGGGCGACTTTTTTATTGCTCTTCTTAAAACGGAATTTTAGTACAATAATTTTAAAAAAGTCTCCCAAAGCTTCATTTGAGGCAACTTTATTACTGCTTCTTTAAAAACAACTTTTTAATACAAAATATCTTTTGAGCTAAAAAATTTTGTACCGAAAAATTATAATAAAAACTATAAAAAAATGTTTCAAACAAAACCTAATTTTCAGGACCATGATAGGCCATTAACCCTTAATGGGAGGGAAAATTATTGCACCGTCACCGGACGCTGAGATAGGTCCGGATATTAATAAAATATTATTTTAAATTAAGTGCAGGTAAGTGCACGTAAAGCGTACCTAAAGCGCTGTTAAAAGCGCACCTAAAGTGCATCAAAGCTCAGTCAAAAGCGCTGGTGACGTGCAATTTTTTATTGGATGTTTGAACCTATTCTCCGCGTCCGGTAACCGAATGCAATAATTTGCCTAATAGGAGAGATTCAGAATTCGTCGAAATCCATAGGCCTCCGGATAAATTATTATGATCATATTAAAAAGCAATCATAATCTTATTTCTAACTATCCAAATAGAATAAAAATATTGTCAATACTTAAATAATTGTTATACGTGCTGTTTCTTCCTTGTTGTGCAAAGTAGAGTGATAAATTTAATAAATTGATAAAAAACAAAAAAGAAATAAAAGCAGAAGAGAATGGAAGTACGAAAAGAAGAGAGAGAAAAGCGTTTATTTGTTTCGTTTTCAGTTTCGTTGGAGCAAATAAAGTAAAGTAATTCTCATTATAATAGCCAACAAAACATTCATAAATATTTTGGCAAACAAAGAATAAAATATATCGTCATCTCATTTCACATGTCAGACCATAACAGTAGCTGCAAGCTGAAACAATAAATCCAAGAAAAAATACAGTATACATAAATGCATCTACTCAAGAATCATACGATAGAAGAAAAAGAAAATATGTGCGAAGAAAAGCAAAGAGAGATGAGGACTGGTTGAAGAAGTGTAGGAGGTGTCTCAATTTCGAGTTACGGGTAGTAGTTTGGGTTGAACTCGAATTGACCGATATTATTCGGGTTCGGGTTCAACCAGACCGTTTTTACAAACGGGTTGATTTTTTGGATCCGAACCAGACCCACTTTGGGTCCGGGTCAACCCGACCTGACCCAAATACTAGCCTAGACCAATAAAAATCTGCTATTTTTGGGTCTAAAAATGGGGTCAACTCCTTTTTTGGGTCTAACCATCCGCGAGTCCAAAAATTAGAATCAATCTCGGTACGGAACTTTTGATCAGGTTCAAAACGTTTCTCGGGTCACAAACTGGTCGATTTTCGGG